TGTTGAGTGTCCTGATGGTGTCCAGCCATTGGAGGGGCTGGCTTCTGCTCACTGGCTGACAGAGGAGGCCTCAGCCTGGATCTGCTCCAGGACGTGGTGCGACGTCTACCCGCTGGGCTCACGTCACCTCCTGGGTCAGCGCCCTGAGCCCATCTTTCTCTTCTGACTACGTTGCCTAACAACCCCCTGTCCTGGTCCCCTGAGCTGTACCCTCTCCCCTGCCACTCTCCACTCCGCTCTCTGCCTGTTCCAGATGTCATCTTCCCCAGGATGACAGGAGGGGGACCCGCCATGTCTTGGGCTGGGCAGGGCAGGAGGGCAGCTGTCTCAGCTCTCTGTTCTGGTCTCCAGGGGGGCAGCCATGTTATCTCCCCACCACCAAGACCTGCACCTCCAGATAAAGGGCTCCGGGTTCCGGGGGGAGGGGGGGTCCTGGAAAGCTGCTGGAGACTGATAACAGCTCTGCTGGCGGCTGTGGAAGCCCGGAGGGGGCAGCGCGCACATTCCGCGCCTGATTGTAATGAAGCCAGAGCCCTGGATCTGCCTGTGCGCCTCTAATGGAGGCTCCTGCTGGTGGAGCTCCTGCCCTGCCCCTGCCCTGCACAGTGACCTGGCCCCTCAGCTCCCTTCCTGTGCAGGCTCCTGGTGACAGCAACAGCAGACATCTGCTTGAGCTCAAAGCCACTTATTTTTTCCTTTTCTTCTGTCTCCTGCTCGAGGCCAGGAGCAGAAGTGCTTTGTTCAAAGACCTTCCACTTCGTGCTTGGCCCTGGGCCATCTCTGCACCTCCCTGGACCCCAGTGTGGCCTGCAGTGCGGTTTGGCTTGGTGGCTCAGGAACCACAGGTGGCCTACAGGGCCACTGTTCACAGCATACAGAGGGCAGGGTTGCTGGCCTGCAGGGGAGGGGGGCAGGGCTCCCCGCCAACTTGCTGCTCAGAGTCGGGGACTGCAGTTTCCCCTGGCTCGCAGAGCGGGCGGAAGGGGTGATGTTCACGATTGGAGCATCACTTCTCAGGTGTCACTCAGGTCCAAGTGCTGTCGCGGTGGCCTCTGTATTAGTGCTGACGGTCATCCTGCGAGCAGGCACTTGGGGCTGGCCTCATTCATATGTGGAGAAAGGAAACCCAGAGGTTAGTGACCTCCCAAAGCCAAGCCCATGGAGAGAGCCAGGATGTGCCCCAAGGCTCTGAGCCAGTCCTGTGGTGACACGGGTGACTGGGTCAGATTGGGTCCTACCTTCAGTGAGCTCCCCTTGAAGTTGAAGACCCAGGTGCAACTAGTAAGGAAAGTGGTTTCAGGATAGGCTAGGGGCTCTGGAAAGAGGACTCCAGGGGGCCATGGTGGCTACTTGAACGAGTATGCCCAGGAAGAGCAGGATGTTTGGGCTGGTACCTGGCAAGCAGGAACTAGGCCTGGAAGGACAGAGGGAGTGAGTGCAAAGGCCCTGTGGTCGGCATAGGTGTGGCAGGCTTGGCGATCGGTAGAGGCCAAATGAGGTCAATATAGAGTGGGGCAGAGGAGATGGGTCAGGGATGAGGTTCAAGGAGCAGGACTGAGGGGCCACTGTCAAGGAAGCCACTCTGTTGTCCAGTGGCAGGTGATGGTAGCCAGGCATGAGAGTGAAGTAGTGGACACTTGTATTTAACAGCTCAGCATAGTGCAGGGGTATGTTAATGAGTGTCTGTGTGTGTGTGCACGTGCATGTGTGTGAGTGTGTGCTTCTACTCCAAGTTATAGGAAAGGGGGCGAAGGCAGCGCAGCTCCACCATCAGCCCAGGCTGTGCAGGTAGTGACAGCAGGGTGTGGTCAGTGCGGCTCACTGTGCTTTCTTCCCTGCTTGCCTTGCCAGCCCGTGCCGCCCCGCCTCCTCTCTGGGTCCCAACTCCTCTCTAGGCCCCGCCCCTGCTGTCTCTAGGCCCCGCCTCCTCCTTTCTAAGCCCCCTTTTTCAGCAGATCTCTAAAGACTGAGGTGCTCTTGTAGCTCTTCCAGGCTCTGGGGCAGTTCCATGGGCAGGGATGTCATTGTGGGCATGAAGGTTCAGGGAGGAAGTGGACATCCCTGGAACTGGCTGGGCCTGTGTTGGAAAAGGCCAGGCATGTGGAGGCTGGCCTTCATCTCCCACCAGCTGCTCTTCCCAGGGTCAGGCAGGGGTGTTTGTCCACTTTTTGGAAGGTGGTGGAGGCCCAGGCCAGGTGAGCCGTACTGGCCCAGGGGGCAGACAACAGCCAACCTCAGAGTCCCCTCCTGGGCTGGGGCTGAGGGCAGCTGACCTGCCAGGGGAAGGACCATTCCTGAGTGTCCCTTCCTGAGGT